TAAGGTTTTTCTAGTGAAAATAACAGCTGTTCTGAATTGTTTTAATTGTTGTAAGTACTAATTTTTAATATGAAACTTTAAAAGAACTAAAGCCGCAGTGATTAAATAAACATTTTAAGTACCTAGAACAACAAGAACAATTTAAAGCAACATAAAATGTGTGATTTTGCAAAATTAATGTCCATGTTAAACGTAAAACACATCTAGAATAATTTGAATCGGCAAAGGTTGAGTTATTTTAGATTGTTCTATGTTTTTTAATTCTTATTGTGTAATATAAAACCGGTGACACAAGAATTACTGACTCAAACTTCCAAAAACTTTAATTTTCAAAGAGTAAAGTGCCCTTTAGAAAATTGTTCTAGTGAAAATAATAGCTGTTCCAGATTGCGTTAGCTATAATAAGTATATATTTGTAATATGGAATTGATAATAGAAAAACTATGGTCACAGCAATCAACTAGACATTTCGGCGGCCTAACCTATTTTTAGTTATAACTTCGTAATGCTGTATCCCATAATTTTGATTTTCTAGAATAATAACTAGAACAACTAGAACAACCCAGAACAACAAAGAAAATTTGATTTTTCCAAAAATGGGGGGCTAGTCAAAAAACCTGTTTTTTCGGTTTTCTCGGGGAGTTTTTATTTTTTCGATTTGTCGCTTTGGAACAATGTAGAACAACTCTAGAACAACTCTAGAACAATCTAGAACAACAATAAAAAATTTAAAAATTTAAAAATGGGGGGCTAACTTCCCGCACTCCTCTAAACATGGTTCTGATCGGTCCAATATATTTAGAGTTATTTTTTTGCACTATACAGGGTGTTTCATAATATAGATGCAGAAAAGTACTATCTACGACCGATACAAGTGAGCAACAAGTAAATGCGACTATTCGAGGCGTACGGTCCAGGTTTTAATTAAAGAAACAACTATTTAAAAAGCTAATATTTCGGTTATTTATTGTAACCTTCCTCAGAGCATTTTTTAGCGCTACAATAGATTAACAAAAATTGAAGTTAAAAATTTTCTTAATGTAATTAACACTTACTTGTTTTTTGAAACTAAGAATTGTAGAATAACCGAAAACCATTATCAAAGTTAAAGGATCAAAAACTGAGCGAAACCATTAACAAAACTGGATGAATCAACGTGCGTACAAGATGTCTGACAGGTAAAACCTCTTTAATATAAAAATAACATGTGTTGTTTAAGACTTGAAAAAACTTTTTTAAGCATTGATACCAACCAAAAATTGTGAGCCGAACTGCGAACTGCGCAAGCATCATATCTTTTGCGGTGAAGCCGCCTAAATTTAAACTTAAGATTTAAAATTATAGAAAATTGAATCGATTAATTAAAATTAAGACAAGAACAGATTGACAAATAGTTTAAAATCATAAATCAGTGGCTAAAACATAAGTGATCGGGTAACATCAGCATTAATTTTCTTATTTTTCTTACAAACTTTGTCGTTAGCGAACAGTAAAGCGTATATCCATTTTTAAACGGGTTATGACGTCATCGACATTTTTTTCAATTAGCAATCACTCATTTTTATTACGGAATATGAAAAAGGTATTTTTCTGAATTTGGTACAGTTAAAAGTAGTATTAGCTAAATATAAAAATTTTCGAGAAAAACTACCTTATAGTTTCATAATTTACCATTTAATTGAGATAGAAAAATAGCAGTAGCTATGCATAATCATGGCAACCAACTGTTTCAGATATCAAAAATGAATCATTGTCTTAATAAAATATCTGAAACAGTTGGTTACCATGGTTACGCATCTTTACTGCTATTTTTCTATCTCAAATAAATAGTAAATTATGAAACTTTAAGGTAATTTTCCTCGAATATTAATTTAAACTAATATTAATTTGGACTGTGCTAAATTCGGAAAAAACCTCTTTTATATTCCGTAATAAAAATGTGGGTTTGCTATTTGAAAAATATATCTCTGACGTCATAAGTCGTTTCAAAATGGCGGAAAATACAGGTGATTTATAACATACGGAGCAGACTAAAAGAGTAGGTACTAGGAGCCAAATTGAAGATATTTTCTTAATAATGTTTTGACCACAACTTAATAATCACAAAGATATAGAATGTTAAAGTTGAATTAATGGCCGAGCATTTCTTACCATACACAATTACACTAT